TTTGGATCTACATATTGACTAGTTAAATCAATTTTCAAATGTACGTGAAATCAGCGGGCAAAAAATTAAAAGATCGGGCTTGTAGACGTCGGTATTATTAATCTACGATTCACGTAGTTTAACTTGGTGTGCTCGTTTTATTTTTCAACTCATTTTTCGGTCGCATTTTCATCAACCTAAGCCTTGTTAACTGGTCATTTTTTATTTCAAAAGCTGATCAAAATCTGTATGTCTCCAAGAAGTATATTTCGCACTGATCATTTTAGTGCATTCTTTTTATTTTTTCGAGCATCTTTGCGCCCGACTTTTATTCATTTTGAATAAAAAAAGTTTGTCAGTATGTTTGAAATAATTAAATAGGTTTAATTGTGGTTTTATTTCAATTTTATCACATTTATTTTTAAGTGCTTGATTTTACTTAGTTTTTCTTAGTTTTATATCCTTTTTACACAATATTGGTCTAAAGGGGCATTTTTTGTATTATTAAGAATCATAGAAACCCTCACCTATCCATGTATTTATCTATTGACCAATCAAAATTAAATGAAATAAAAATGGATTAGATCAACTGAACAACCACTGTAACATTATAGCCATGCAGCAACGTCATCATAAACTCCCTCCATAACCACCATTACCTTAAACAAGAATCTTCATCATAACCACTCTCAACACCATTATTTGTTCGACCACCACCTAGTGCTTCTTCATCGATCTGCTCTTCACCTCTTCTCACTCATCAAACACTTAACCTCTCTAAATAGTGAAGCCACCATTTTCTCCAATACATCTCGCCACTCCCTCATACTTCAACTGGAAACAACCCTCAACCACCACCCAATAACTCACCAACAACCCACACCTCAGACAAATCTCACTTCATAAACTACCATGTAAACTTCCAACTACCATATAGATCCGGCTACCTTCCTTCACAAATCATCTTTTTTTAAGGGTTTATCAATATTTTTCCTTTCCTTCATTGAAATAAAAAACGTAAGGTGGCAACTCTGTTCGAATCATTTTTCTGTAAATTCGCAAAGGATCGTATTTTTCGAGATGTGACAGTTTAGAATCAACTTCATGAAACGCTAATTGATATCACTATAATTATTTTAAAAACTCGTGGTAATGGTGACGTCGTTGTATGTATTTTTTGTAGTAATGGTTTGAGGGAGAGTTTTGTCGTATATTACAGTCCTCGTAGGATTAGTGCGCGGATACCCTATTTGTAAAAAATAAAAATAAAAAAACAAAAAAGTTTGAGATCTCATAATCATTGTACAAGAGTAGCTCGATTTCGTAGAGAAAATCTATACATTTTTTTTGGTAGTAGAAAATCTATACATTTTGACTTCAAAATTTTCCACTTACATTAATTATCATTAATGATGAAATTACATTGTTAAAACGATATAAAAACAAAAAATATTCCAAAGTGTATAGAATGTAGACCATCAAACTCAGTTTTAGAAATATCGAAAACTAAAAGTTAACTTTATTTAAAACAATGAAACTAAAAATTCATTTTAACCGAAATTTTTTTAACACATATGTTCAATGACATCACTGCATAACAAATATACTAATAGTATAAGATATGATATAATTAAGGGTTAAATATGTTTGTAATCCTCTTAATTATTTTAAATTTTATTTTTAGTCCCTTAAAATATTTTCTTCAAAAAATGGTCCTCCTAAAATTTTTCATCCACACTTTTGGTCCCTCCTGCAACTTAACGACTGTTTTTACAGCTTAGCGACAAAATTAGTGACAGTTTTAACGACGACTTATTAATTAGCGACTGTTTTAGTCTTAGGGACCAAAAGCGTGAATGAAAATTTTTAGAAGGACCATTCTTTGAAGGAAATATTTTGAGGGACTAAAAACAAATTTTGAAATATTTAAGAGGACTACAAACATATTTAACCCTATAATTAATCCTTGAAAGAACTTATTTAATAAATATTAATAATTAATCTCTTATAAAAAATTATTTTATTAAAACATGCATCCTCACTCTCTTTTCAAAAAATAAAGTGTGAAAATGATTAATTTTTTTTTCTTTTATCTTTAAATAAAATAATAATAGTTACTAAAAATTTACACACAATTTAGTGATATAGAGTTCAAACTCTAGTGTCAAAGAATTAGTTTAAGTGTTAATAAAACATGTTTCGATTATATAAAATTTTATTATTCAGATCATGATACTTAACACAATTACACACCAACAAACAAGGACATATATCACGACATTAACCCTCACATGAAAAATGTGAAAAGATGAACCTCGTCACAAATTATTAACAAACCCAAAAATATAAATACTGGTGAGAAACAAAGACATTGTATTTAACAACAATGTCATATGTTATATGATCAAAAGAGATTGTGTTAGCTTCAACATATCCCTTAACAAATCGAAAACAAGCTCCCGCCAATTAAGCAATTCTCTGACCTTACTATTCACAATGTTCCATCCTAAGATAGTGATGACGCTCCCATTATATTTTCTTTCAAACAAAGCATAGTTCATAACCATAAGAAAATTGAGCTCGATTTGCAAGGTGGCTGTATAAAACCCATGTGTCCTTCCTACTAACCTCAAGCTTAATTTTGGTTTTAATGTTAAAGTGATTTCAATTATCCTCACTAAACCAAAGCACTAAAAGAGTTATTTAATTTGGGGAGAGGTGGAATAATTAGAATGGACATAGCGTTGTTTCCTCCAACGATATGTCTTGCCAGTGAAATCTAAAGTGACTAAATATTTCTTTCTTTTTAAACAACCTAGGGTATAATGAGCTCACGAAACCGGTCCCCTCTTATTTGCTAACGATTGTATGGATGTAGCAAGAGATGATAAGAAGAAAGAAGAAATTTTGAAAAACACCCATAGTCATATGTTTAGTATGGTTAAGGCAAACAAAATTCTTTTAATCCAACTAAATTAAAATTAGTGAAGAGAAAGTTTATGAGTTAGGTAAAGTTACGAAAACATAGGATGTATTTAATGCAACTCAACTCTATCAATGTCTGTTATGGTCCCCTCTCTAAATCGGGCTCACCACATCTTGCCATTACTCTTTTATAGTCATTCACCATGAAACTCAACAATGCTCATTATCAATCAATCAATCAAAACTTAACATAAACTCAATAATTTCATGCATAATAATTATCAATTTAATAAAAATGCATTAATTCACATCAAACATAATCAAATAACTCCATTAAGTACCTAAAAATACCATTTAAACATAAAAATAGAACTCTGTCATAAAAATCGATCTGAAAACATCCAACTCTAAACTATCATCCTCGATCAGCACAACCAGGGCTTGCTGAGCGCGGATTCGTTGAGCGCATCTTTTGCTCGCTAAGGGCAAACTCAAAAAAAAAACACTCACTTTGGCACGCCCACTAAGCGAACATTGTAGCTCGCTAAGCGAGCTCTTGCTAAGTGAATCTCATTCTTGTTGAAGCGCGATCGCTCAGAACAAAAACCCAAAAAAACCATAAACAATGCATCTCATTGGGCGAGCCCTTCTTGCGCTGAGTGAACCCAAAAACAGCAACGTCAAAAAGCGTAATTTTCATCATTAGAGCCTTGTCAAAGCTCCAATTTCAACCCCAATTAATCCCAAACACATGAAAGTCAATCATACATGTTAATAAAATATTAAAAATAATAAATAGGCACATGTTAACATATATTACATCGATCTAATTAAAACTCATCATCCTTCAACACTTTTAACACAACCAATAAAAACAACAATTTTATGAATTAATTAGATAAATTCACACGAATTTGGCATGCAATTCAAAATAAAAAATTAACACATTGACAAAGAATTCTTGAAATAGTTTTAATGAAAATCCATCTCAAGCTCTAAAACATCCAACAATAATGAAAAGGAAAAATCCCAAAAAAGAAGGTAAAAAACTCTCTCTATCCTCTTTACCTAAGCACCCAGACAAATAAAAAATTGGTGTTTCTGGACCAAGTCTTCTTATACTTAGTTTAATTATTAAGAAAAGCGTGTTTGAAAAACAAGTTCTTTATCATCTAAATTGTTTTAACATGGTGATTAAATTAACTTTTAATTTTTTTAAGTTGATTTTTTAAATCATTCATTATTTTATAAATTTTAGATATTTTTATCCTTTACAATATTGTGATGATTTGACATTGTTATTAATGGTGTTTTAATTAATGATATAACACAATTCTTTAATATTTTTTATCAGTTAAACTTCTCTAATACTCTATCCTCAAACTTTCTCTTTCAAAAAAAAGTTTGAGACATCGTGATCATTGAGCTAGAGTAGCTCGTTTTCGAAAAGAAAATATATACATGTTGCCTTTAAAATTTTCAACTTAATTACATTAACTATCATTAATGAAAAATTCACATTGTAAGAAATGGTAGAAAAATTCACTTTTTTTTAAACCAAAAATTATCAAAAGTAGGACATTAAACTCGGTTTTAAAAATATAAAAAACTAAAAATTAACTTTATTCAAAACAATGAAACTAAAAATTCATTTAAATAAAAAAAAATATTTATAAATATATGTTCAATGACATCTCACATTATAATAAATATAGTTATAGTATAAGATATGATATAATTAATGCATGTGAAAATAAGCTATATTATTAATATCAACAATTAATCTCTTATAATATTTTGTATTTCACTCAAACATGCATACTCACTCTTTTTATCAAAAATAGTGTGAAATTGATTAATTTTGTTTGTCAGTAAATCAAAATAATAATAATCATTAAAAACTCAATCACATCATTGTGAGTGATAAGGATTAGTTTAAATATAAATAAATTATTTTAATAATATAAAGTTTTATTATTAAAATTACGATACATATCACAATTACACACCAACAAACAAAGACATTTATTACGACATCAACCCTCACATGAAAAACATGCAAAGATGAGCGTCATCACTAGTTATTAAAAAAAACATCAATACTGATGAGAAACAAAGACATTGTATTCAACAACGGTATTTCCTGTGATAGGATCGAAAGAGATTGTGTTAGCTTCAACATATCCTTTAGCAAATCGAAAAACACCGCTCCCGCCAATTACAGACATTTCTCTGATTTTATCATACGCAACGTTCCTTCCTAAGATAGTGATGACACTCCCGTTATATTTTCCTTCAAACAAAGCAAAGTTCATAACCATAATAAAAACGAGCTCGGTTTGTGAGGTAGCTGCATAAAACCCTTGTGCTCTACCTAACAACTTCGAGCTTAATTTTGGTCCTAAGGTTAAAGGGTTGTCGATCATCCTCACTAAACCAAAAGCACTAAAATCATTGTTGAATTTGGGGAGAGATGGAATAATTGGAATGGATGTAGCGTTGTTTCCTCCGACAATGTCTTGCCAGTAGAATCTAAAGTGACTAAAAATTTCTTTCTTTTTAAACAACTTAGGGTTTAATGAGCTCACGAAACCGGTCTCCTCTTGTTCGCTAACTATTGTATGGAAGTAGCATGAGATGATAAGGAGGAAGAAGAAATTTTGAAAAGCACCCATATTCATATGTTTAGTATGGTTAGGAAAACAAAATTTCTTTTAATCCAACAAAAGTGAAATTAGTGAAGAGAAAGTTTATGAGTAAGGTGAAGTTAGGAAAACTTAGGATGTAAATGAGTAAGTGTGATGAGTACACATATTGTAGATAATTATATAGAACAATGCAACCTTGACGTAGTAACACATGATGTAGTTAATTGTAGAAATAATGAAAAATATATTAGTTTTTATTCCATTTTTCTAAGTTTTTGGTCTTTGCAAGTGACTTGTAAATTTGACTATTATATATTTTGTGGAAATGAATTTTTTATATTATTTTTGGCGACTAGGTTTGAATCCGGCTTGATTAAACAGAATATTTTATATTTTATGCATAATTTTACAATGATAAGATTGAAATTCAGACTCATAATCTCATATGAATTATTAAAATATCTTAACACTAGGACTTCAATTTTATCATAATAATATATAATATGTAATTTGTTGAACTTCAATTCTATATAATTTGTTGAAACAATGATAAGATGATAGATTTGAAATTTAAATGATAATGTCGTGTGAATTTTAAATCTCTCAACACTAGGGTTTAATTTTAGGCTTAGCATAAGTAGAAAATAGCATTCGTAGTAATTTACACAAGGGTGGAATTTACATAAAATATTTTAATTCTAAGAAATTTCAACTAGAGAACATTTTATAGGATCCTTTTGTAGTAATTGAGTAGGAATATTTGCTGATTTTCCTACGAAAATTACATTTTGATAAAAGAATAAATTATGTTAAGAAGTCCGCGGGTAATTTATATGCGGATTTTCTTTTGGTTTTTTAAATAAAAATCACATATTTTTTCTTTTAAAATAAAACTATGTTTTTGTAAGAAATTTTTTTTAATAATAATAATAATAATAATAATTGAAAATATTAAATTTAAACATAACAATAATAATAATAATTAAATTTAAACTTATTTTCTTTAAGATACTTTTAATATATATTAAATTCATTTAATACATATTTTTAATTTTTTTTAAGAAAATTTTTCATATTTCATTCAAATTATATTAGTCATTACATATTTAAACTCTTCAATACCTCATACCTGATCACTTCAACAATTTCAAAGTCCATCTCAATACCTCATACCTCATTCCTCTGTCGAATCAGTGTCTCTCTATCTACTCCTCTGTCGAATCAGTGTCTCTCTATCTACTCCTCTGTCGTTCGCTCTTCTATCATATCTCACAATTACAATATATTTTATTTGTTTAGTTAAAAATGAAATGTATGAATATTATGTTTGGATCTAATTATGTTGTGGTGAATAAGGAAAAAATTAATGTGATGAAATTTTATTGTTAAATCAAGAACAAATTGTATGGATGTTAATTGATAATAACTTTTTGCATCTTTAAAAGAAGTTAAAAATATTTTTTTCAAAAAATAATTTTATAAAAGAAATATTACCCATGCATATCTAGCTATAAATATCCACGGATACCGTAAAATCCGCATATTACCCGTTTAATGCATACCCGCATGAATATGGAGAGATATAGATATCATATTTATCCAACGATACGGATACGGATATCATAGTATTCGCCCCCATAAATATTAATTTACATCTCTACCCGCGATATACATTTGGCGGCATTAATTTTAAATATATGTTTATAGTTATTAATAAGTGTTAGCTGTTGGTTTATTCGCGTCTTAAAAAGTGATGATTTTTACAAGATTTTCTTTATTGTTCGATTTTCTTTATTGTTTTGATTTTCCGTTCTTAATTGGGTTTGTTTCATAGTATCTATTGTGTGTGCATTTGCTTTATTTTATTTTAAAACATTTTTATTGTGTGTGCATTTGCTTTATTTTATTTTAAAACATTTTTATTGTATTTGAAATGTTTACATATATTTTTTGAATTGATTTTATGACTGAATATGGTTTATGTCCTAGTTTTAAAAAAATAATTGAGATTTAAAATATATATATATATATATATATATATATATATATATATATATATATATATATATATATATATATATATATATATATATATATATATATATATATATATATATATATATATATATATATATATATATATATATATATATATATATATATATATATATATATATATATTAGTAAAATGTAATAATGTCTCGTTAAAATTTTACCAAAAATTATTTGACTCATTTTTAATTACTTTAATGTTAAAGATATTTCTTTATCATAGTTTTAAATTTAAACACAATTTTTCTAAGATAATTTAGTATATATTAACTTCATTAATACATATAGTCATTTTTAAAATAAAATCAGTGCATATAAATTATATTTAATACATATTTTTTAGGATCTTATAATTGTTGGAAAAAATTTCAAAAATTAAAAATTGAAAAAATGAAATAATTAGTTTTCGACCAGAGTCTTACATGAATTCTTGGTTTTCGACCAGAGTCTTACATGAATTGTTGGTTTTCGATCATAGTCTTTTAATTTTTGAAATTTTCAAAAGTTTCATCCTTAGTCTTCTGTATAAATATCCATAACTTTCAGGAATATTAATCATCAACTATGGATAGAAAATACTTTGCGCATGAGTGTGAAGAATTCCTTGTAGGTCCCCAAAGATCAGCATGAATGTAATCAAGGAATCCATGTGTTCTTTGTGTACCTTTGTTAAACTTCATTCTATAGGATTTGCCAAATACACAAGTTTCACCAACGTCCAATTTTTTAACCTTATCACTACAGAAGATTTTGTTTCGACAATTCAACCAGGCCTTTTTCACTGGTTTGGCCAAGTCTCTTGTGTCATAGCTTAGTCTTTGACATAGGTTTTGTGAATGTCACATCTTCTGAACCACTTACAACCTCAACCTCAAGGGCGTACAAGCCTTGTTTCTTCATGCCTCTCAAGACATCCTTCGACCCCTTCATTACTTTTAGGATGATTTGCTCTCCTTTGAAAACATGTCCTTTCTTGTCCAATTCACCAAAAGAAATCAATTTCCTCTTAAGATCAGGTACATACCTAACATCAGTCAATATCCTTATTGACTCATCATGGAGTTTGAATCTCACAGATCCAATACCTACAATTTTGTAAGCTTTATTGTTTCACAACAGCACCCATCCACCATCTTGATCATACAATTCCTCAAACACGTCTTTGTTTGGAGTCATATGGCAAGTACGCCCTGAATCCATAATTCACTCCTTGCTAGAGTCGCTGCTTGAAACCACCAGGATATCAGATGACTCATAACTATCTTGAACAATGGTTGTATTACCATTATTCTTTTCACCATGATTGTTCAGACGGTCAAGGAATACTTTTCTTGTATGACCCTCCTTCTTACAATGATAACACTTAATAGTAGGATCATTACCACCATAATAATTCTGTAGAATTTTACCCTTCTTCTTCTCAAACCTACCATCTTTCTTCAAGAATTTTCCCTTAACTAATAAACCTTCACCAACAGAAGATGGTTTGTCCTTCTTTCGTTCATTCAAATCCTTATAGTACAATGCAGATTGAACATCTTCAAAGATCAATGACTCTCTTCCATACAAGAGAGTTTCTTTGAAGTGAGTACAAGACTTAGGTAAAGAGCACAACAGTAGAAAAGTTTGATCTTCATTATCAATTTTGACCTTGATACTCTCAAGATCAAGAATCAACTTGTTAAAAATATCCAGCTACTCAACTAGGGCTTGTCTTCACTCATCTTAAATGAATACAAAGCTTGCTTTAGGTAGAGACGATGATCCAACGATTTCTTCATGTACAAGCCATCATGTTTCCTCCACACACCAGGTGCAGTTTTCTCCTTTGAAACTTGCCGCAGAACCTTGTCACTAAGGCTCAATATAGTGGCATTGTGGGCATTTTCGATCATCGTTGTCTTCTCCTTCTCTGATAATGCAACATCCATCTTCTTTGATCCTTTCAACGCTTCTATCAAACCTTGTTGAATAAGAAGGGCTTACATCTTCAAGCGCCACAAACCGAAATCATTCACACTGGTGAATTTCTCAATCTCATATTATGTTGACGACATCTTCTTCTCCATGCTCACTGCATCAGTTTGTTGTGAAATGATATCGTCAATAACAGAACAAAGTTATGAGATAAAGATTGAGTTTCTTAAACAAGCACAAGAAATCCTATTAGGTTTTTCAAAAGGGATAGAAGAAGGAAGAAGAAGAATCATAATTGGTTAAATCTGTTTTACTATTCACTTTCTCAATAAGGGTTCAAAGATTACAAGTGAGTATCAACAATTAACCTCTCTCAACAACCTAAGAGAACTAGTATGTTTATAGCCTACTAAGCTAACTTAGGCTACAAGCTATCTTAACAATTGAACTTACAAGTAAGGCCTAATTCGACATGCTAACTTAAACACAAAGCTAACATATTTTGATAGCATGCTTGAACAGACTTTGACTACAGTATGCATAACTCCTGTCGAATCATGAAGCTACCCTAATCGAAACTAGAGTTCTCCTTAACATTAGTATATACATATTAAGGAGAAGTACATAAACAAGAATTAAGTCTATAACAGTGGGTTGTGTGACTCAAATTTAATATGTTAATTTCAACGACGTTGTGACTGTTTTAACCCCCAAAATTATGAATATGTGAAGATTGAATGTCATATAGTCCATCAAGAGATAACCCCTAAATCTTGATTATATGAAAATCAAATGGCATATAGTTCATATTTCAATAAACTTGAATTTTATCGCAGGTCGACGATCTGAATATTTCTTATGTTTTATAATTTAATTTAGAAAGTGTTTTATAATTTAATTTAGAAAGTGTAACGGACATAATGGAAAATAAATTTGTTTTTGTAATATTGGTGAGTATGACATTTTTTTAGGAGAAGCACCTATAAGTTTGATATAATAGTTAAAGGATAAGTCAATTTAGAGGTAAAAATAGGTCAAAGAAAACTACAGGCTAAACCATCAAG